ACTTGAACGAACAGGAATCGCTTGGTCACTAGTTACCCATATTAGTACGGTAAGGGTTAAAACATGTAATAGATCGTTACAAATCAGTACGTGATTTTAAAATTACGTATTTTGAAAAGTCACATAATAATATGTTCTTTTTTCTTCTATTTCAATCATTCAATTCTTTAAAATTCAATAATTATAAAATCACATGATGGATTAAATTATTTCTAATATCATGTGATTTTTCAAATTACATAATTTTAAAAAATTACGTATACTGATCTGGAACAATCCGATTTCATCATAATTAAAACATGTAAATCATGTAACGTTGTGATTTTTTTCAGTAGAGGTGAATTTCCTAATATATATTGCTCTTATACTCTATCTGGATTTTCGAATTATTTTCGAGATTTATTAGTAATAGATTTCCAAGTAGAGATAATAATTTAACTTTTACTGTGCAATATATTAATTAAATAGATTAAACACATTAAAAATGCAAATTTTTGTTTGAACCATTAGTATGTATTTCCAAATAAAAATCATATAATTTGATCAAATATAATTTAATAAAGTTTTGGATAAATTTTTAATTACCTGAAATTACAGACATACACAAAATAGATTTTTATGTGAAAATCCCACCAAGGCCCAAAAATTGGTAATCCAAATATAACCATATGATTTTAATATACCAATTTAATTCAAGTAAATCTATGTATTCACATTTATACAAATATGAACAAATACATTTTATGTCTAGACATACCTGGAATTTAGTGCAAGGTGATTGAAACTATATATGAAAGTATATAATAATTTCTAATTGATTAACTATATATTGCCTTGGTAAAATCTAAAATCTAAAATACTTCCTATTCTTTTTTATGCAGATGATTACAAAATCTTCTCATAGACCTTTAAACTTTCATATCTAATTTATACATGATAAAATTAATTTGTAAAAAACATACTTTAATAAAATTTATTATGTATTTAGAGTGATCTATTTATAAAAATAAAAATAATTTTTTTAATAGTTTGAAAGAAGTACATTATTTCATAACCACGTTTACCACATTTAAGCTTAATGAATTTTTTTAATAGTTTGAAAGAAGTACATTATTTCATAACCACGTTTACCACATTTAAGCTTAATGAATTTTTTTAATAGTTTGAAAGAAGTACATTATTTCATAACCACGTTTACCACATTTAAGCTTAATGAATTTTTTTAATAGTTTGAAAGAAGTACATTATTTCATAACCACATTTACCACATTAAAGCTTAATGAATTTTTTTCATGTTTAGACTATTATTTATTTAATAAAATTTTGCTCTTTAGATGACCTACGGACTAGAATAACAAATATAATTCGAGGTGTTGTAAATTAAAATATTGTAGAACTGTACATTTGTAAAACTTCAGAATCTGATCTCAGTTCATATACATACGATAAATTTATTGACAAACAATAAACTCATGGTGGAAGGAAGTCAGGTGTGCTCGTTTTTTTGACGAATTTCATACGGTTCTGTGCAGATTCCAAGTCCTTCTAAAAATTTAATAGTAGTACTGACCAATTAATGACTTATTTTGAGTATTAACAGTATTATTAACAGTACTTTTAATATATACTAAAAATAATTATTTTCAGTATTAAAAGCCAGTATTTTAGCTAGTACTATAGTATTGAATTTCTATTGAGCGAATGCGACCATTATTTAAACATTTTCACCGCGATCATTTTGAAGTAATAGCTTGAGAAACCAAAATGATCGTACTTGCCAAATAAAAACATGTAAAAATGATGATTCAGAAAAATATATTTTTATTGCTTCCCAAAAGAGAAAGTATTAATATTGAAATAAATCAACCCAGAATCACGCCACACTTGGAAAACTAAAGAAATTCTAGAATTTAAAGCAAAAATAAACACATACTATTAATTTACTTAACACAAACAGTGAAACAAAATAATGATTAACTAATCAGAATATAAACATATTTATATGAGATAATTGTAAATATATGAGAAAACTGTATGCGAAATTCACATCTTAGCAACCTATATTTACAATAATAAAATTTTGTATTAGTTATTTATCATTATATTTTTTTTTTGTGTATGTACTTCAATTTACGTGATCCATGATCTTGAAGCTCTAATCTAAACATTTTTTGTATTACCGATGATATAAAACCGATATTAGAAAGCTTCAACGTGTATACAGGGTGTTCTCACACGGAGAGAATTTTCTTTTAAAATTTATTCTGAAAATATGGTAATTATGGTACAATACAATATTTTAAAGATTTTTATCATGCACTTCAGTAAAATTGATCAAACTTATTATATACTTTATTACAGTTTTATTAATGAATGAGAGAGATTTACATTAAAATTTTTCGAGATACACCACAATATTGTCCAACAACTGTCATATTTTCAGGATAAATTCTAAGAAAAACTCTCTCTGTGCAAAAAAGCAAATGTCATGTATTTTAGACTTTTACCGTTGATTTAATCTTTTATAGTCAATATTCGTTCAGTCTTTTATATACTTAATTTAAATTACAGTTACAATAAAATGCTGAATTTGCATCATCATAGACCTATTAGGAGCTGATTCTCGATAATAACCGATGAACTGCGGTTACCCACAATTTTATAATTATGGACTTTTAATCTTCAGACCGGATACCTATATAGATCCGTAACATCTTAACGCAGAAGTATATGAGATTAGCTTAGAGCGATAATTTTTGTTATATAAATACGTTCGTTGACATTGTTAAGGATTATATAAATATGTGTTCTTTGTAATCACTGATGAAGACTGTAAGTCGAAACGTTAGAGGTTTTTTAGCGTTATATGTATGTAATTAAAATTTGAATTTTATTAATTAACTATTATTGTTGTTTATAATAAAAGCCTTGACATTTTAATTTATTGCGTAGCATTTTTACACGAGTCTATTTCTCTATACTTAATTTAATTTTTTATACTTATATCAATTTACATCATAAGTTAGTATTAAAACATTGTCATATAGCAAATTGTCACTATTAGTGTTATATAATTGATGTTTATATGATCTATAATCTTATTTCTTTTGACCTATGTATTTTATCTGTATTTTATCGAAGAGTGAACGAATATATATACGGCGTAAGAACAGTTATTTTGAATAATTACGCTTATTGCAGTGAAGATATCACCTACATAAAATGAAAAGTCTCGTGCTTTACGCCTGTATTTTAATAATTGCTGTAAATATTCTGTCAATAAACTACTTTAACTATTTCAATAAACTATAAAGGAGTTATTTATAATAATATGTATTAAAAACTATATAAAATAAATGAAATAAATATTTTGTAAGTTTCAGCCGTCTAGTTCAATAGAACTAAAAAAAATTAAAAATATAATAGAAACTACTGTGAATGATGTTGAAGCTTGCCAGGCTGAAAATAATGTGACTGATGGTAAGTTATATCTAATTATTATTGCATATTATTGAAGATCCTTGTGATCGTCATCTAAATTCTCTCATCAATATTTTAGTTTAATTTTCAAATTTTGTTTTATCAAATTTGAATATTTTTCTTACAATCTTGTAATGTTTATTTAAACTTTTTTTTTTAAACTGTCTTTTACATTAATTGTTTTTATTTTTTAGCTGATGTATACGGTCTCGAAGACATGGGGTCTGACTTACCCACCCAACCCGAAAATGAAGAAAGAACAAGAAAAATGGGCTGCTGGATTGCGTGTGCCTTAAAAAGACAGAATTTAGTAAGTGTTTTCAAATATGCTATACGTATTTTATATGTATATAATGTCCAACAATGCAAGATTAATATATCGTAATAAAATTTTAAATTATTCGAAACTTAATTTCTAATGTAACAATTATGAATGCAATTAATAAAACACATTGTTGCTTATACATATATATTTATTGCTGCATATACATATATGTTCAATGTAAAATTATACAAAAGTTGATGTTATTATATGGTGTTAGTAAAAATATTATGCTATAATATACTTAATTTAATAAATATGTTTTAATTTACATATAGCGCTTAAATTCTGCAAAATAATTAAAATAAATTCACGTATTTTACTTTGATTCCTAATTTCTTCTTAATAATGTTAGATGGACGAAGATTCAAACATTAACGAACCGCAAATTCATGTAAGAATAAATTTAGAGTATGGTGATTTTCCTGATCAAGCCATTGTTCACCGAATTGGGAGTAAATGCATGAAAGAAGGTAAGATATATATCTTGAATTATATATGTTATTTGATTGTTTAGTTCAACAAAAATGTTCACACGAAAGCGTTTTTGTTTCGAACAATTTCCGAAATTTAATATGTAGTTGCAAAATTACTGTTAAGAAAGAGATATTACATACTTTTTCTAATAATTTCTTGTACAAGTGACACATTATTTATAGATTATAATAAATTAAAAAAAATTTTAGTTCTCATTTCCTAGAATATGTAGACTTTACCTCTTTGACATACTGTATAAATTACCCTAAAGTTAACAAGAAATAAGGAATTACAAAAAAATTATTATGTACGCTTTATGTATTTGCACTTGTATAATGCTTTTAGAATGTTATAGTTGTTATAAAAATACAATATCTATAGGAAACATGATTAAGTATTTATTTTTTTAACTATATTATTTTGAATTTTTATTTGTACAGTGAGAGATATTACGCAAGAATGTGAGAAAAGCTTCTCCCTGCTTGTATGTGCTGCAAAAGCTGTAATGGAGGAACGGAAATATTTGTTAAATCACTAGTCAATTTAACTTGTGATATTACTGTGGTAGTTTAGTAGAGTTAACGTTTTCAAGACCAAAAAATTATTTCGGCGCGCGTTTCTGGGGACTACATACGATAGTATATAAATTCACACAAGAATCATACAGGCATTTAAGATCCAGCTAGACCGTTTAAGGCTTTAATTTCTATAATTTGTGTTATCACATATACGGTCCTATAATATGTTATATAAGTAATTAATTCATGTACCAATATTTTTATTGATATAAAGGATGATTATTGAAATAATAACTTATGCCTTTATGTCAATAAAAATATACATTAATCACTTATGTTAGTGACAGCCCGTAATATAGACTTTCTTAGTGTACATACAATACAATACAATTTATATTAAATAAAACTGTACACTTATATGTATTCTATAATACTCTAATCGTTCACCGAATCGTATCTTTCTAATAAAGTTGCATATACAAAAATTGTGTTTTATTTAGTTACATATAATTTGTTCAATTAAATTTGAAACATTTATAAAATCAAATTTTTTACTTTGCGTTATATATGTAAAGTTTTTTTACTGATAAAAATATATACTTTTTGTAATATCATTACTATAAAACTTTTTTAACAAATATAATATATTTTTATCTCTTATTTTTATTATTATATAAGTACAATATCCTTCTGTTATATCGTAACATGAATTAAAGTCTTTTTAATTAATGTAGTGAAACTTTCTTATTTTATTATTCCTGTGATTCATCTTTACATCTTAATTTTCTAAAATTATTAGAATAGTCCTTATAGAAAAGTACTACTGAGCACTAGGAGTATTTTGAGACACTACTGTACTACAGCACCGCTACACTACTGTAGTAGTGCAGAAGTGTTTTGTAGTTCTGAGACTGCTGAGTAGTGCTAAGATCTTTCATATATCCGCGTTTCGGCAAGATACAAAATGCAAGAAACGAATATGCATCACAGAAAGTAACTATTAATAACGGTATTCAAAAAAAAGCGCTTTCAGAGACTCTATAAGAACACTTTGATCGAGTTAAGAGTAAGTAACGGATTTCATTTACGTATGCCTCTTTATAGGGATCCGCGTCATTTTCTCTTTACGGATTTACGGAAAACGAGTCCATCGTGCGGCGATATTGCATACTATGTTGCTTGCAGAGTATTATATGTACGCTGTGGACGCCGCCAACCAAGCGGTGTAATACGCAGTACCAACTATGCCGCTTGCAGAGTATTATATGTACGCTGTGGACGCCGCCAACCAAGCGGTGTAATACGCAGTACCGACGCAAGATAGACTTGTTTTCCGTAATGCTGGATTCACACTGCATCCGATTTGCGTCGTACGAAGCTCTGCAACCAATCAGAAAACAGGATTCCGATAGATTTTGCTTCGTATCATCGGAATCCTGTTTTCTGATTGGTTGCAGAGCGTACTATTTATCCTATACATTCTATCTCACATTATCCTACACGTCTTATCTTGACATAGTTTAAAGGCAGTTTCATAGCATGTCGGCCATGTTTAGTACTCTCCTTAGCACCTTTGTCATACTGACTTAAACCGGTTGCGCCTCTCTGATAAATCTAGAACTCTACTTACTCTTAGCTCGATCTGAGTGTTCTTATTGGTCGTGTTCAGCAGACTCAACTGTTGTGAAGCAGATCCGTGAGCACTTGCTGCTATTGGTGTATTCTTCTAGATCATCCAATAGCAGCGAGCGCTCAGCCGCTCACGGATCCGCTCCACAACAGTGAACAGTTGAGTCTGCTGAACGCGACCATAGAGTCTCTGAAAGCGCTTTTTTAAAAATAGAATTATTAATAGTTAGTTTCTGTGATGCATACTCGTTTCCTGCATTTTGTATCTTGCCGAAACGCGAATATATAGAAGATCTTAGCACTACTCAGCACTATTGAACACTTCTGCACTACTACGTAGTGTACGGTAGTGTACAGTAGTGCCTCAAAATACTCCTAGTACTCAGTAGTACTTTTCTACAAGGGAGGTAAACGGTAGAATAAAAATTACTTGAAAATTTTTAATTCGTACAGAAAAAATATTTTTTTAAAAATATATTTATAATAAAATTTTTCATTATTTTTAAATATTATTTTTCTAAAATTTAATAATATTTATGTAAAAAAAACTAACAAGGTATGTATGTTATTATGTATTAATCTACATCGCGCGTCTATAATAATTACTATAGAAAAAAGTGGAGAAATTGTATTTATCTAAGGAGAATTTATTGCTGTAAGGTAGTTTTTAAAGTTGAAATCGATACATGCACACACACGCGCGCGCGCGCGCGCACACACAGAGGAACACAAACTATACACATATATTCCTTTATCGATATATGTTCTCAAATTAAATAATTTTTTATTTGATAATGTTGTATTTGACAAAAAATAAAAAAGCCAAAAATCGTCCGTTGAGTAATTATATGCATAGAAATTGTTTTATGGAATGTTGATTAGGAAATAAAAAAATATTTTTATTAAGCCAATATCAATATAGAATTAACCTATATGGTTTAATATAGAATTAATATAAACTTTGCAAAAATAATATAAAAATTGGAAAAATTAAAATTTAAACAAAAATCGCATATGTAATTCTCAGTATGTTATGTATGTCTGGAGTTATAATTTCTTTTAGTAATTTATCATTTTATTATCACATCCATATGATATTTTTAAATGATCCCTATAGGACCTCACAACTTTAATTTACGTATTTACTGCTGACAGAAATAAATTTTATATTATCTGGTTCTGGAAAGTTTTCTTATAAAGGAAGTACTTTTATAGCAGTAATTAATACCAAAAAAAGCTAAATATGACATTTATTTTGTTTTTTATTGCAAGAATATATTATTAATTATTTTTATGATAAAAATAAACATTTGAACACATTATTAATTATTTTTATAATGAAAATAAACATTTGAACCTATTAATAATGATTTTTATGATGAAAATAAATATTTGAACATATAAATGATTTTTATGATGAAAATAACATAAGTAATATAAACAATATAAGATTATAGGTAACATAGGTAACTTCAATAGATTAGGTTAGGTTAAGTTACCTATACAAAATGTAAAATAAATTTTGAGGCACATTTAAGTTTATTTATTAATTATTTGTCAATACGGATATTCTGTCACAACGGGATTATGCGGCAAAACGTTTGTTTATAGCATCCTAACCTATATTAGAGGAAATGATAGTACTTCCATTTTACCCGAATAAAAGTAATGGCGTATTGCCCCAAGACGCCATTTTATCTTGTAATGAGCCTATACAATACGACTGTTAAGAAAATGAATCAATGACATACTGAATATATTCATTTTAACCCATATTTATAGGTTAACAAGCTATTCGAGCTAAATATTGTGTAACGCTTGAATAATAACTTATATAAGACACTATGAAAGCACGTTTTCGTATACCATGCCGTCATATCATATTTACCTCATAGAAACAATACCGTTGCCAGGAAATTGTTGATGCTTATGCAAGATATCAAGCACACAATTATGCACGATGCTGTAGCACTGACGGAAGCACTGCTAATCGGTATCACTGTAAAACAAAAGGTGTGGCATATTCCCCACACTGCCGTATTACCCGCACTTACCCTATACATTTTTAAAACGTATCAAAAATTTATTTTCTAATTATTTTACATTAATAAATAAATATATGTAATTCATTATTTGTCCTACATTTCAAAATGAATTATGACCGATTAAAATAAATAGGTATTTATTTAATATATAAAACGAGAAAAGAATTTTCAATATATTTTATCAATGCTCAATATCTGTTTAACCACTTACGAAAATAAAATCTGTAGAGTACAAAATTTATATATGAACTAAAAAATGGACATCTTTTTATCGGATAAACTGTTAGTTTATATATATATATATACATATATATATATAAACGTGCGTGCGTGCGTGTAAACTTTGTGCTGTGTAAATTTTATTTTCGAAACTGGATACATTGTATATGTATATGAATACATAAAGATTGCATAAAAACAATACACTAAATATTAAAATAATACTTATAATGACATGATTTTTACACAAAATTGTGCATGTAACAATGTTATTATTTACAATGTTAGTACTCTTAGAGAATTCATATCATTATTCATATTATATCAACTTAATTAAACTTTTTTCATTCACAATAATGTTGATCACAATAAAAGAATTTCCTTTAATATTTCGTCTCTATGGATATAGTATTATTTTTTCTTTTTTGTTGACACAATCCATTCCTGTTGTAGTTCACGTAACATTTGTGGCGTTAAGAGCCCTTCCACTATTAATCTTTCAGTCAATTTACCTTTACCCATGCCACGTTTACCAGTTCCTTTAAAATCTAAAAAAACATTACGTATAATTTAGCACTCAAGCATCGCAATTGAGTTGTTTTTTTATGCATGATAAAAGGATTTACCTCTATAGAAATTTTGCTTTTGCGTCTGCAACTCGAAACTATCGGTCTCTCCACCTAAAAAAAAAAAAGATTTTCCTGTGTTAAATATTTCACAATTATTATAAAAATCAAATTTGGTATAACATAAAATTACACGCACGCACGCACGCACAAACATATAGTTCTATGCGAGGAAAATTTTAAATTATATTATAAATATTTTTTACGTTTCAAAAAAAATCACGCTTACCTGCTTCCGAATGGAACAATAAAGTTGTTAATTTAACTATTCCTGCCTCGATGAGTGCATCGAGTTCCTTCTGAATGTCACGGACCATTTCAGCATCCGGGAACAGGTCCATGAAACGGTAACTACAAAATATAAGATAATGAAAATGAGAACGTCAAAAAAACAATGATACATAATTAAGAATAATACAATCTCTCATTATACCTTAGCCATAAATAAAGATCTAATACATCAAAAACGCCTTCCAAATGCACTAGATCGATGATAGTTCTTGGCATTCGAAAGGGCCACCCGATGTGTTGGCATAACCAGTTG